CATGCTTTACGAATTCTGACAATATTCAATATAAAAATGGGAAAACGCAAAAAGGCTATATACAACACATAAGAAAGGCAATATGTACAAGAATGCACTACTGATAATAACAACAAGCAGACAAAACAAACGGTTAAACAAATTGTTACCTTCTACCACAAACGAGATATAAGAATAGACTTAACATGCAATGTAATTTTCTGTCCCATGCTTCGAGGGCGTCAGAAGCCCCCTTACCATTTTAGTGTCAATACCCTAAGTTACCGATAAAGCATGAATTCTGAGTATTATTAGCACAAATGAAGTGTTATATATTCCATTCATATTGCGTGTATATATATGATCTGATGGGAATAAAAATATCCGATGCTTCAGTTTAAGGTTAAGGGATAAATATGACAGTCATGAAACATGAAATGGAAAAGTATATATTTTTTCACTTAACTATAAGACAATTTAATCTAAATGCATCGTTAATGGACATTTTATTAATGTTACTGTTTACATATTGTTGTTTTATTCGTTTTTATATCATGCCTTACATTTGTATATTTGTAACAGATAAATTCAGAATAGATGTAGTTTCATAAATAGTTTATCAAATCTACATGTGGGAGAATATATAGACCGCTTTAATTAACATTTACATATTTATCATTTATATGGGAGTATGAATAGTTTTACTGCCTATTGTAAGAATCTTAATACGCACGAACAATTACTTTCTGGCAATTGGTAAATTTTTACATACGAATTTACTTACATGTTATTTACTTACAAAAATTTTATTTATTGCGAGTAATTAAATAATGAACGTATGATAATATTCAGTTACGTGTCTCAAAATAAGTGAAATACAGAAGTTTTATTTTCTTGAAAATTAGTGTCAAAGAATGCAGCAACTGGTCAAATTAGTTTCGTAAATAAATCAAAACCCTGTATCGGCACATTGTTTTTTAGGCTATCAAATATTACACGGAGTCTTTTAGGAAGTAGTAAAATCTTTTACACAAATTCAATGAAATACTTTCAGGTACCCAGTTTAGGGCTATGAAATTAGAATGTTTAAGAAGAGGTAAAGAAGTTTCATATTTGCAATTATTTTGTGATACTGTAATAGATATCGGTATCCTGTAGGGATTTATACTGGAGAGCTACATCTTTAAAAGGAACATGTCGCTTAAACAAATTAGTTAAAAATGATATTTATTAGAGGAATATGAACATCATAAATAAACGAGAGCGGTAGAGCGAGCCGCGGTTACGGTGCTCTCCGTCGGTGTGGACGCGTACCGAACGATGCCGAAGATGGTCAAAGCAGGCGAACGGGAAAGAGCGAGCCGCGGTATCGATGCTCTTCGTTGGTGTTGACGCGTGCCGAGGAATTTCGGGGGTCTATGGGGGGACATATGCGAGCGAGAGAGTACGGTAGAGCGTGCCGCGGTATCGGTGCTCTCCGTCGGTCCAACGCGCTAGTGAAACGTGAGTCACACAGTTTATTGACCTAGCCGTGTACGCCGTGTACCATGGCCGTACCATCTGGTGTTTGGGTCGTTCAAGGAGGAAGGTCGTTCAAGCCGGCAAAAACAATTCAACTCGAACGAACGTGACAAAGAAACTAGCTGTTGCGTAATAACCTACGTACACCCAATACATAACGGCGTTAGCTTCCTCACTTTCTCGTGAACCGTCGCGGAGGGTGGGCGCGCGTCTCATACTCGTCCTTTCTCTTGTTACTAATCCTTTGTATGTTACATATGTTCGAGAACCATTGGCTTTGATATTTATCTTCTTATGTACTGTGATTCATTTACTGTGATTTATTTACTGTGATTTATATACTGTGATTTATTTATTGTGCATATTGTTGTGTCCCCTCTATTGTTACTAATCCTTTGTATGTTACAGATGTTCGAGAACCATTGACTTTGATATTTATTTTCTTTTGTACTGTGATTCATTTACTGTGATTTATTTACTGTGCATATTATGTATTCTATGTGTATTGTATAATGAAAAATATTTTTCCAATCAGTT